CTGACAGCCTCTTTTCCACCCTGTATTCTATCACTGCAAGGTCTCCCTTTAGCCTTTTCCCCCCTTACTCTCTTCTCCCTTCCCTCTCTGCTTTTACCTTTTGTCTTTCTAATTTCTACCTATTTACATACTCCCTTGCACCCTGCCACACTTTTAGCTTCTCTCGTTTTTTGGAGTCTCAGAACAACAGGTACCTGAAAATGGGTAACTGTGCCCAAAAGCTTGCTAAAAACTTTTTCCCAACTACTCAGTTGGTCTAATAAAAGATATCACATCTATTCAAAGAACCTTGCATGGCTGTGCCTACTTTAAACCACTAGTACATTTCATTTTGATTTTCTGTTATAACTGACAAATAGAATTAGGCAAAGACAAGAATATGTTAAAAGTTGTATTTTGAAGTATATGCTTACTTCAGTGAAGTAAGATAGGAAATTTACTCTAAGAATATGTATGTATTGTAGAATACAGCACTTCATTTTTAAAGCATTTTTTAGCCTTTTCTTTTGTAATGAAAACTAACAGGCTCTTGCAGTTAAACATGCACATTACAGGCTTCCTGACTTCCAGTTATGAAGTCTCTTAGGAGTTATTAAACAACCATCCTCTCCTCCTCCACTTTTCAGAATAAAGCACGTGCAATTATTTGTTTACCTTTGATAATTTATATTTTATTGTTGAAAGAAACATTTTTCAGTAATGTAAAATGACCAAAGATTGTTTCAAAACTGTTCAATCATGCCTGTGGAATTTGTTGGATACATAGTTCACGTCTGTAGTCTTACAGATAATAGTAAACTGGCATGAAGACTTTTTATGCAGACCTTTAGACATTTGAATTTACATAACAGGTTAAAATTGTCCTTAATGTTTGTTTGAAGCAGTTGATGGGGAAATATGACTATGGATTTGGGGAATTGAGTATGAGGGAGATTAAAAGGTTTAGTTTCTTAATGATGTACAGTTGTTGGAAGGTTTGTTCTTATTAATATGTTTATGAATATTTTATATTGTAATAGGAGCCTTACAAAGGTAAACTTCATGAATTTGAATAAAAAATAAATATATTGAAGGCTATCTTCAAGTTCTAATAGAATGTTTGCTTCAATGTTGCCTATGTAAGCACATTTAAACGCTTGAAATTTTTTTACAACAAAATGTTGCAAATATCCAAAATCAGGCATATAATCTTTTAAGTGTGCTTACATAGGCAACATCAAAGCAGACATTCTATTAGCACTTCAAGATATGTCTGTATATCTATATAATTTAAAGTATTTTACTTGAAGTAATCTTGTTCATAGTTTAAGATCTATATTTTAGTAGTTTTATGTAGCAGTAACTGCCAATATCAGCATATTTGGTTTGAAAGACTTAAGCACTTTTTCTTCTTCTCTGTGTCTTTGTTCTTGTTAATGGAATATTCACATAAAAAGCAAACTTAAAATATCACATCTACTTGCTTGTCATTGAGTCTGATGCTTTGCTAGTAACTTGAATTGCAAACAGTAGTCATTTCAGTTCATGCACGCAAAATAGTTAGCATTTCCAAATGTAATGGTGTTAGAGCACCACCTATGGGGTTTGCTGAAACTAAAACAGTAAATATTTCATTCAAGTTAATTGAATATTTGAATTTTAAAAATGTATGTTGATACTTTTCCACTTTCTTACAGTTAGTCAAACATTTATGTACTTACTTTGTACTGTAATATATGTAGTGTAGTAATACTGTACTACACTATTATGCAACATAACTAAATGAGACTGATCTTGGTTATAAAACTTTTTAAAAGTAGCCTCAAAGCAGTGGTTAGGTTTAAGCTAGTAAATAGGAGGTAAGAAAAAATTGCCAACGTTTTAATGTCTTCATAGAATACTTAAAATAAATATTTAAAAGAATACTTTTCTTTTGTTGTTAGTGCAATCCTGATGTTTTATAAATGGAGGAAAAGTAACTATAAAGCTGTCTGTATTCAAACAACAATACAGTTGAAAAATGACCTGTTTCTGAAAAAAAAACATTTGTGGAATTAGTTCATTTAAAAAGTTATTCAGCTTATAAATTTAATCTTTTTCTGTAGACAGTTTAAGCTATTTTTTAGGTTGTATTGTATCCTTTTGTGTCTTATTTTCTCTTGGCAGTTTTGTTTTGTAATGTAAGCCAAATAATATTTCATTAAGATTATTTTTCTGAGAAGTAAACTTGAAACAACAATTATGTAAATCTACAAATAAAGTCCATAGTAAATTCTTTAAACATTCAAATATTATAAAGGTTTAACTAAGTATAGGTGTGGGCATCTAATATATCATAAGAAATTGTATTTGTCCAGATTATTTAATCATAAACTACTGAGATTCTAAAGTAATGTATTTTGAGTTATTTTTATTTGCTGTCTGGACTTTGAGCCTTCAGGATTAATATTTTCAGTCACAGTGGCTAGAATCATTTTTAAGTGATAAGATTCAGGTCATCTTACATGGGTCAGGATGTAGAAAGACACCAAATTATCTCAAGACTTGCTATAACATCATGAACATTAGTAGTGCTGGTATGGAGGAAGAAAAAAAATGTGCTTGAATTATAGGTATAACTTTTTGTGCAGGAGCTTTGTAGCTCATATGAGCAAAGTCACAACAGGGGATGACATCATTTTTGGGCAGAGCACCTAAAACATCTGTAACCTTTGCTGGTAAGATCAGGGGTGGATGCCAGCTGGCTTATAAGGGAGCTGCAAAAAGCCCAATCCTTGTTGTGGCAGTGGAGCCTCAGGCACTTCCCCACTGTCCACCCCAAGGCATGTGTGCCAAGCAAAATGCCTTTGCATGCCACGCTGGCACCCATGATGGGGGTTGCCTATGGCTCAAAATTTTTATCAGGGTTTGCAACCTGTAGCCCACAAAGGTTGGAGCCAATCTGCAAAAGTATGATTTGGCACAGGGCAGCATGGAGGAGTTAGTAGCATATGACTGCACCATAACACCCTCTTCCCCCCACTCTCTGGAGTCCTACCTTTTATTCTCTTGCTCCTAGGCTTACCTTTTTTGCAGAATTTTCCCATCTCCATTGTCTTTCGGGATGGAGATTGGTGGTAAGGGTAAGCACAGGTGGCTTGGTTGCTGGCAGTCCAGGAGAGATGAGGTTGGAGATGTGCAGCCCACAGTGGAAGCTAGGTTGCAAGCAGCAACCTGCAATGGCATAAGGTTGCCTACCTCTGGTTTATATGATTACTAGAGCCTGGAGGTTAAATTAGTCCTATAAATGTATAGCTTCTGAGAAATGTATTTACAAGTGGCACAGTCAGTAATCTTTGCCTTCGAAGTATTTGCAGTTTTACAAGTGAGATTCAGTTCCATGCATTGGGCTATCAGGAGCATTCCAAAAGGTGGAATAGCATTGTATTAGCTTCCACACAAAATTGAATTTCACCCACTGGTTAATTTTGTTTTTGCATTTGTTAGCATGGTATCTGAATGCCATAGTTAAATGTAACTGAAGGAATGCACCACTTCAATTACTCTCACTCATTTTGGTCAATGCTGCTCAGAGGAGCACACCCATGGGGTAGGGTAGTAAATCAACAGCCTGATTACACATATGTGCATTTGAATATGTGCATTCATGTACACACTTTCTCCTATATAGGAGAAATTTTGAGTAAAGAGAAAGATAATTTAATTGTGCCTGAAAGGGATGGGGACTAACCATCTTTAGTTAGTGTGAATTAGAGAAAATAGCCTGGAGCAAGAATGTGGCCTGTCTTCCTCCAGTGAGCCCTTGTGGCCACTAGTCCAAGCTACTCTGGTGGTTTGGAAGAAGAACCTTAAATATTCCTTGCATGTGATCAGGCTAAGCTTGCTGGCAGGTTGAATAATGATTTTTTTTTCTTTAAGAAATTAAAATTTTAAATATCCAATATTCTAATTATCTATTTAAATCAAATCAATTGACATATAAACCTATTTAAAAATTGAAAGGCATGGAAACCTATATGAATGCCTAACCTTGTAAAATAATTGAAGTTAAATAAAAGTATTCAAGTGATATATGCTTGTAGCCAAAACTTGAAAGGAAGTCTAATTACAGTGGAAATCTCCTGGCTAAGAACCAGTAACCAGATTTGTTAATGTATGAACCCACCGTTTGACCCAGTAACTTTTTGTAGTAGTGAGAGATAATATTTCCTTCAGTTCAGTTCAGTAGCTACATTATCCAGTGTAGGTAAACCCATCGGGAGTAGAAGGATGGAAAAACTGGAAAGGATAAATTAATCTGTGAATAAATATGAGCTGAAGAGGATGAGTTCTCAAATTCCTACAATACTGAAGCTATGGTAACCAAAAACAATCATTTCAGCTCCCTGATTAATAAAAACACTTCATTTGTTGGATAAATCAGTTTTTCATGCCAAACTCTGTTCTTATGTATCCAATATGTTTAAGGTAATTTTAGTCAACTTAATGCTGCTCTTTGCATTTGTTTTGAATTCTGGTTTCTATTCAAATCCAAAATGGCACAAATCATTAATAAAAAAAAATCATCTAGTAAACAAAGTTGTGAATATAATTTATTAACATAGTAAAAGAGCTGTTAAGTTTTATAATTGCTCAAATGAATATTAATAGATATAGCATATGCTCTGCTAAAGAACAAACCACTATCAAATTGTAGTGACTAATGAGAATCAACATTTCTTAGAAAAATAGCTAAAAAAATAAAAAAGCAAAATGAGATTTAAAATGATGTGAATGAGCACACTCTATTTACCAAGCAAGTTTATCACAGTTGGGATTAAAATTTATGCACAAGTTGGAAATCAGGAATTTTAAACTCTAGAAACCGTGTGTGGTTTAGTGTTCTGACCCATACCCTCGATAGGGTTTTTTTTCTGTTATTGTTGGCCAGAATTATTGACACTTTTTATTGTTTTAGTGATTTATTCTGTGAAAGGCTGTGTGTAAGTAATTCAATTCTAATATCTTTTTTTTTTTTTTAGCATGTGGAGATATTCCAGAACAAATTAGAGCATCAAGTGGGACAATCACAAGCCCAGGCTGGCCCTTTGAATATCCTGCCAGAATCAACTGTAGCTGGTACATCCATGCAAACCCAGGGGAAATTATTACTATAAGGTAATTTTGATACTATTACTGTCATTCTCAGGGGCCTGACCAGGACATAGGTAATTTGAGGCTTGATCCTAAGGGGGGCGGTCACAGCCCAAGGGATCAGAAACAGACAAAGTTGGGGAAGCAAGGATACAGACTGGAACTGGGAATCAACGAGCCAGGTGGGTCAGGAGGGCGTGTTCTATAAGGGACAACCTGGGTAGAACCATGGGCCAAGCAGGTTCAGGAACGGGGGACTGGGTTCTAGATGAGTGTCACTAGCCAGGGGGTCTGGAGCAGGAAACTGTAGCTGTACAGGACCAGGACATGGGTGATTACCTAGCCAAGGCATGAGTTAGAGGCTGGCTGTCAAAGAGGAGTCTGGAAGCACAGGGCCTCAAGGAGCCAGCAAGGCAGTCTAGAAGCAGGGACAGATGAGCAGGAGCTAGGCTAAAGTCAGGAAATGGGACCCATGGCACAGGACACCAGGGACCAATGAGCAGGGCTATGGACACTAGGAATAAATAGGCAGGGCTGAGAAAATCAGGAACAGATGTCTGTCCTTGAGTCACCTGCTAAGCAGTGGAAGTTGTGCCCAGCAAGTAGCTGGGGGCAGGTTGCTGGGATAGTTAGGTCACTGGCAACCAGGCTGACTCAAGTAACTAGGGCAGGCTGGTGACACTGGCTAGCCTGCTGCCTTGGCTCCTGACAGCCATGATATATAGAACAACTGCTAACTACAACTTGATAGCCATATTACTTTATTCCCAACTTCTGTAAAGAATCACACTTATCAGTAAATATACTATAAATATTAAAATTGGCCTTTGTAATAGTTATTTCCTGAGGCCAACCCTACAACTTTTCTAGGTAGGCACAGAAAAAGCACTTACCCAGCAGCTACCATAGGAAGCTGAATACCAAAAATGTGGTTGCCTCCTTTAGGATATTCCAGCAGCAGTTGTGTGCATCTAAGTATCTGAAAACTGACTCCAAGGATGGGTCTGAACACTTCTGAAAAATCTAATTCATAACCCTTTACAGAGTTTATGAGAATTTTAAATGCACAAGTAATTTTTTTTAATAGATTTCATAGATTTTTTTTATTCAGGTCTTATAAATATTTAAGGAGGTAAAAACAGAATGCTAATATAATGGTTATTATATGGAATGACTGTCTATGTGAAATGGTATGTTATAATTGAGAAGTTGGTCATCTTAATATTTATTGTTGTTACTGGTGGAGGGACAAAGAATTCCTGCAACTTCATGGAAGATAACTTTCTTGTCTATTCTTTTTACCCCTGTTTGTAAGCCTTTGCATGCTTGTATGCTTAAATAATTTCCTGATAATTTCTCTCATGGGGCAGTACTTTAAAAAAAAGTTCTAATATCCTGCACCATTATTAAGTTGAATAGAAATCTAAGGTATATAAACCAATAGGAAGGTAATGAATAATCAAGGAGGGAATTCACAGATTTTGAAAAGACTGATAGTTTTGTCAACAGCTTCATGTATGATGTAGATTTATTGAAGACATGCAGTAGCTCTGTACCAAATGTTTTCAAGTATTCATCAGTTCATTCCCTACTATCACTTCTAGGGGAAATTTTAGTATCAAGTTACAACTTAGTATTTCTTTGTAGATTTATGGAATTGCATTAGCAGCATATTTTGGCTGGCTCCCATTGCAAATTTACTGATCTAGGATGAAAAGCAAGTTCTGTTAAAGAAAACACTTGACCAAGACTTTATTCATTTATTTTAAATGCCCAATTCAAATTCAGAGCATTTATTAACACTGGTGTGTTTCTTTTTTTCACAGTGATGTGCTCATGTTGCAGGGTGAAATGGGAAAGAAGAGCAGCTGCATTAACGATCTTTTTTAAAAGACTTCCTTTAAACTGATGTTTTTATTACATTTTCTTTGTTTCAGGGCTAGCTTTCTTTTGATTTGGGTTTATATTTTATTGGCTATTCCATTCCTAGTTCAGTGTTTTATTTGCTGCACTTTGTGGCTTGGTTTTATGTAGACACAAAATCATGTTTTGCTTTTAATTCACTTCCAGTATAATGTCTCCTGGTTCAGATATTGCTTCAATGCAGACAGGATTTAGCATGGTTAGAATCTTGAAGATGGTTTAGCATGTAGTTTTAAATAGGACTAAATTCATGTTTAAAATTCATTTCTAAGCAATTTGGCTCCATCTACAATGGCAAGCCAAACCATATCAGAACCCTTTTTTCACTGAAACCAAGCCCAGGTTTGTGTTATATAAAGGTAAAGATAAACACAGGCTTGACCTCTAAAGGTATTTTGTGGTCAAAAGAATTAAAATCCATTTTTTAAATGACAGTATAAATTCTGTAGCAAACATTGAACTTGCTAAGCATCAAGGACAATATTATTCTGATCATAAGCCTGGGGATTTCTAGGGTTCTTTTATATAATTACATAGAATATAGTAGAGTGCCACCTCTGCAGAAACCTACTCATTTTCTTCCCCCACCCCTCCTCCTCCCCCTAATATGAGCCAGGAAAAACTTCTCCAGCTAATGTCTCTTTCTAATTGCAGTAATTCATCAATTTGATTGTTAACTATTCCATTTTAATAATGCAGTTTCATACTCCATATCTTTTACAGTTTTCAAGACTTTGATGTTCAGGGATCACGACGATGCAGTTCGGATTGGTTAACAATAGGAACGTACAAGAATGTGGAAGGTTATAGAACATGTGGCTCCTCCATTCCATCACCATACATCTCTTCACAGGACCATGTTTGGATCAGGTTTCATTCAGATGATAGCATCTCTAGAAAAGGCTTCAGATTGGCCTATTTTGCTGGTATGTTTAAAAAAAGGACAATGTTTTTAAAATGCTTTTTTGTTTGTTTGTTTAGGTTTTGAGCTCTATAGATCTTTTCAGCCATGTGTGCAACATAGTGCTTCATACAATCAAGGTTCATAAATATATAAATATAAAAGGGTTTATTGAAATTTTAAACTATAACAGATATTGTAGTGTTTACAATAATGACCAGAATAAATGAGACTTGAAAATAACTACACAGTAGTAAAATACCTCTTACTGGTCCATAGTTTTTCAGGAATTTGGGGTTTAAATTTCACAGATAGATAGATTTCTAGAGTCAGAAGGGACCTGATAGATCATCAGGTCCGACCCCCTGCTCCAGGCTGGAAAGAGAGCTGGGGTTAGGTAACCCCAGTTGGATGCCTGTCTAATCTCCTCTTGAACACCTGCAAGGTAGGGGAAAGCACCACCTCCCTTGGAAGCCCATTCCATATTTTGGCAACCCTTACCGTAAAGAATTTCTTCCTTACGCCCAGTCTGTTCTCCTTCAGTTTGTGGCCATTATTCCTGGTAACCCCAACAGACACCCTGTTAAACAGAGTGCCCCCTGTTCCCTGCTGGCCCCCCTGATGAGTTTGTAGGCAGCCACAAGATCGCCTCTCAGCCTTCTCTTGTGGAGGCTGAAGAGATTCAGATCCCTCAGGCTGTCTTCATAGGGTGTTACCTGCAGGCCCTCAACCATACGAGTAGCCCTCCTCTGAACCCTCTCAAAGTTATCCACATCCCTCTTGAAGTGCAGCGCCCAAAACTGGATGCAGTACTCCATCTGCGGCCTTACCAATGCCACATAGAGGGGAATTATCACTTCCCTAGACCTGCTCGTGATACTCCTGATGATGCAAGAAAGAGTGCGGTTAGCCTTGCTTATTACCTCGCCACCCCGGCGACTCATGTTCATTTTTGCATCAGACAGGACTCCGAGATCTCTTTCCACTGTTGTGGTGCTCAGAATGGTACCCCCAGTCTATAGGTGTGTTGGAGATTGTCTCCCCAGGTGCAGCACCTTGCATTTATCCTTGTTGAATTGCATCCTATTCTGATCTTCCCGCTTCCCCAATCTGTACAAATCTGCCTGAATTCACCCCTTGCCCTCCAGTGTGTTTACTATGCCCCATAGTTTAGTGTTATCTGCAAATTTGGACAAGGTGCTTTCAACACCTTCGTCCAAATCACTGATGAAGATATTAAACAGTACTGGTCCAGGGACAGAGCCTTGGGGGTCACCACTGCCCACATTCCTCCAGGGAGAATCCGACCCATCCACCACCACTCTCTGGGTGCGTCCTATAAACCAGTTTTTCACCCACCTTGCTGTGAAAAAATCCACATCACAGCTACTCAGTTTGCTCGTAAGAATTGGGTGCAATGCTGTGTCAAAGGCCTTTTTAAAATCCAGGTAAATAATATCTACTTCCTCCCCTGCATCTAAGCACTTTGTGACCTGTTCATAAAAAGAGACCAGGTTAGTCAGGCAGGATCTGCCTGCTATAAACACATGCTGGTTGCCCCTTACCATTGTGTTACCCACTGGCCCTCTGCAAATGTGATTTTTTTTAATGATTTTTTTCTAAGGTTTTGCCAAGACCAGGGGTGAGGCTAACTAGCTTATAATTACCTGGGTCCTCCTTCTTCCCCTTCTTGAAGATAGGGACCACGTTGGCCCTTTTCCAGTCCTCTGGGACCTGTCCCAAGAGCCACGAGCGTTCAGACAGCTGCGCCAGTGGTTCTGCTATGTTATCAGTCAATTCCTTTAGTACCTGTGGGTGAAGATTGTCGGGGCCTGCCAACTTAAATACTTTCAACCCTTCCAAGTGCCCCTTCACAAGGTCAGTGCTGACCGTTGCGGATTGGTATTACTCTCATTCCAGACTAAAGACTCATTGGGAGGTGCAGTTGTATCCGTATCCAGGAAAACAGAAGCAAAGACATTATTTAAGAGCTCTGCTTTTTCCATCCTCTCAGTTACGAGTTGCCCTAGTCCATTCTCTAGCAGCCCTACGTTGTTACCCTGTGCCTTCTTCCTGCTCCCTATTTACTTAAAGAGAAGGACTTTTTGTTATCCCTAATCTTTGCTGCCAACTTGAGTTCTGTATCTGCTTTGACCTTTCTCACTGCTTCCCTGCAAGCGTGAGGTATACTCCTCCTTTGGTGCTGCCCCCTGCTTCCACAGCATGTAAGACACTCTATTTTTCCTCTGAAGGATCTCATGGATTCCCCTGCTCGGCCAAAAAGGTTTCTTGGCTCTTTTGCCTCCCTCTGCGTGTACTGGGATGTTGTCCCTCTGTGCTTGTAGGATCAGTCCCTTGAGAAACTCCCATCCTTCTTGGACCCCCATCTCACAGATGCAGTTACCCCTCAGTCCCACCCTAACCAGTCTCCTGAGCTTGTTGAAGTTGGCCTTCCAGAACTCTAGCACCACTGCCTTACTTTTTGTCTTTCCCACCTTACGCCAGATAGTGAATCCTATCAACTGGTGGTCACTATCCCCTAGGTTACCTTGTACCTTCATATTCCCTTCATAACTTTTTTCTTTTACATAAAGTAGGTGGCTAATTTGTTTCATTGTTTGAATTTAGAAAATGTTTCCTCCCTCTCAGTATATTTATGTAACAGTCTGTCTGCATTTTTTGGTCTAGCCCAAGCAGTAAATAAGTTAGGTACATGGTATAATAGAGAATATTTTTGTAGAACCAAGTTTGGAGACCAGGCTAAGAGTTATTTCTGTTCATATGAAAATAGTTTGGTATAACTCTAATCTCCACTTTTGCCAGATTTTTAAGAGTTCTTGGCACAGAGCCCTGAAATCATGAGTCTTCCTGCAGACCCCCTGTAATAAAGGAAAGAACAGTACAAGAGAAACAACAAGATAAGATGCATAAACTAATACTTGATCGTATACTGGCTACTATGTAATTGATGTGTACCTTAGCTCAGGCTGTAGGCCTTTAGAAGATAGTGAGCCTACCTAACCAGCCTACAAATACCTTTCTCCCATTAGAAAATAGTTATGTCCCATATCCTTTGGGGAAACATTCAGTCTTAATTTAAAAAATTCCAATTATAAGAAGTCTACCACATTAACACCAAGGGTTAATTATTCTCAAGTGTCTAAAAAGCCTGTACTTCAATTTTTGTTTGAATTAGTCTATCTTTATTTTCCATCCGCTGAATCTTGGAATACCTTTGTTAGCATAAAGAGTGCTCTGTTACCAGATATTTGTTCTCCTTGTAGTTATTGTGATCAAATAACCATTTAACCTTCTTCGTGATAAGCTAAACAAATTGAGTTCCTCATGTCTTTTGCTGTAAGAAACGTTACCTAATTCTTATTGCTCATTTCTGATTCCTATATTCACTTTCTTGAACTGTGGACACCAGGACTGTACAAGGTATTCCAGTAAAAGTCATATCAGTGCCAAGTGCAAGGATTATATGAACCTCCCTGTCACATTAGTCCTTTTGGCTATACTGTTAGATTTGGGCATATACCATGAGCTCATCATCTACCATGACTTCTCAAGTCTTCAGTCATGGTTTTTCATGATCGATTCCTATTCTGCAATATATTGCCTGCATTCTTTGTTACTAATAGTATAACTTTACTTTTGGCCATATTGAAATACTGTTTGCCTGAAACGATTCCTGCAGGATCCAGTCCCTGATAATTCCCCATTTGCACTTATATTTTGAGACCTATCAGTTAAAAACATTTTAAATCCATTTAATGTATGACATGGTGATTTTTTTAATCTTTCTAGTTTCTTCCTCAGACTAGCAGGCAGAACCAAGTTAAATGCTGCATACAAATCTTAAATATCTTACATCAAGGGTAGCCAACCTTTCCAACTTGCTGCTCCCCAGGGACCTGCAGGCCTGGAGGTGGCTCATGCTGGAGCTCCCAGGCTTTCCCGAGCCCAAGTCATGGGGTCCAAGGGTGCCAGGAAGCCCCACCATCACCCAGTGCTGCCTTCCCCGAGCACTTGGCACTGCCAGCCTGGCTGCTCGGGGCCCTGGATGGGAGTTGTGTGGGGTTTGTGGGTGGGTGTGCACCCTTGCCCTGCCTTTCTGCTTCAGCTAACCGGAGCCCGTGTCCCACTGGGACCCACACAGAGCTGCTGGACCCACTGAACATGTAAGCAGGGAAGTTTGAACCGGGGTTGGGGCCGGAGCATTTGCCCCCAGCCTGGGCTGCCTGTGGCTGCTGCTGCTGCTGGGGTGAGGGCGGGGTGAGCCTACCAGTGCTGGGGTCATGCTTGGGCGGGGGCACGCAGAAACCACTCAGGTTGGGTATCTTGCCAGGGTGTATGGGTGTCTGTCGTGTCCCCCAGCTCCAAACCCCGTACACACACCCATAGTCCCCAACACCTTTAAAGTTCCCCTCAAATACACACCCCACCCCCCAACCATAGAAAGTGCCTTCATAATTTAGAGTTTTAGCTGTTAATTAAAATCGCGATTAATTGCAACTAATTTTTTAATTGTGCAACTAAACACAATTACATTTGGCAGCCCTACTAATTATATTAACATCTTTATCAAGTCCCATCTCTGTTTGTTCCATTATTTTGCTCAGGATCAACATATAGGCTCAGGTATATCGTTTTCTAGCAATATGGGAACTAAACAACTTTTTCAGCCCCAAAATTTATTTTCTTGATTGGGACACTAGCATTCAGTGTCATGGGGCTATGTTGAATCTTCCATGTTCAGTTTCTCAGGTCATTCTGTACCCTATCTACCTTTTTTACCAATGTCAGTTGAACATTTAAAATTTTGATATTTAACATGTAAAATTGTTTCATATCAACTTTCTACATCTTATGCATGTCTTTTCCTGTTAAGGCTATTAAAAAGGCTAGTAGGGAAGGCCTGACTCAAGAGATTGGTTACTGAACTGTTATAGTCGGATCCATTCAGTTATTAGCCTTCTCTATTCCAGTAAAATAAACAGCATTGATGATTTTTTTTATTTATTTAGAAGTCCTCTTTTTCCCACCATTCTGTTGTTTTTCATTAAATCTCAGCGTAGGTTGAATCTCTAGGCTGGATCCTGTTTTGCATAGTTCTCACCTTCAATTCAAAGCCACGTTTCCTTAAGTTGTGCTTGGTTGGTCATCTTCATCTCTGTTGTTGCTTCTTGCTCACATATTGTTTAAAATGGGTACATTTTTTTTAATCCTACCCTTGGGTAATGTAAGCGAGACGACATCTTTGTTCCCTTTTCAGAACGTTCAAATATTTTACAAACAAGTGGTGCTGTTGGTTTCTTTCTAGATAGTCCTCTGTTTAATAATGGGACGCTCCAAAGCTGTTTCTGTTTTGCCTTCAATTTTCTGATTCTTCTTAGTGCTATCATATTAAATGTGTGTTGTCTTTTTTCATTCATTTTTGTTTTTTGGTTCATTTTCAACCACTTTTGTATGCAGCTCCCTTTCTGTTCTTCTTGGTTTTGGTAGACTCTGCTGATCATCTCAGAGTTCCTGAGGGATTCACTGCTTTACTCCTTTTCATTACGTTCTGGTCTGGCTTTGGCTGTTACACTTTGCTGTACCCTAACATTTCTTTTAACTCACTCAGACCTCTGTTCCCACCAGCAGTAAAGTTTTTATAGTACAGTCCTCCCAAAAGTAATCCACTAGCTAACATTTTGCTTTCAGCCAAAACTGAAAGCTTGAACATCTAATTAATATTTTTTTAATCTACTGCTCTTTGCTTTCAAAACCTTTCACAGTCTATTCCTATCTATTCTTTCTCATTTGCTTATTAGAAAACCTGTTCCCACTTACATTGCTGTTTAATTCTTCACCAAACAACCCCTTCGGCTGTATTATCTGTAAAGCTACCTGATTCTTCTTAAAACTTTATTCATTGTGATGCCGCGAAACTCCAAAATGATGACTCTTGGGTCTCTGATGCAATTCTGGTACTTCCAGTTGTATAGACCAATACATAATTTTTCTTGATTTCCTTGTGAATGTGTCCTTTTTTTTTTTTCTTTGATTGTGTAAGTTTTTTGGGACGGAGGCCTCTTTTTGTTCTTTGTTTTTGTAGCATATAGCGCTATGGCTAGTTGACACATGACAAGTGCTTCTATCCACAATGGCAATACAAATAACTAACAAGACTGGTGAAACTAAATGCTTCCCCATTTCCCAGGAAACGTACTTCTGGGTTAAGAGAACTGTGTGCACTTTGCGGATTTATGGACCTTTATTCCAAATGAAAAACAAACACTTACTCTAAAGTGGAGCTGGTATAACAGTACAAAAGAGACAGTGAATGGCTGCTTCTGTTGGCCACAATTCTTTGTGATGCTGGCTGGTAGTTTAATTTGTTGTTCTTGAAAAGGAAAAAGAAGAAAACTGTGTGTAAATGGGTAAGTGTTTTTTCAGTTATTTTCACATGCTTTTAAAGAACTGGGGTTGAAAGCACTTCTCTCATTACTAAACTTTTAATAGTTACATTTTTAATTACATGTGACTCTTGGGGTCTCTTCCCAATCAACCTTTTTCCATTCATATATTCTGGTTGCTGAGGGTTTTAAAAGCACTCAATGGTGACAAACTTATATTACTTATTTCTAAAGGAAACTGTATAAAGAATAGGGTGAATTAGCCTGTATTGAGCTCATTGCTACCACATATAAAGTGCTTCTAGTACCTGACCAACTTGTTTTAAGGCAGCTTGAGTGTCTGTGTGCTACACTGCAATCTGCAGTATAGATGCACCATATGTTTGCTATCGTGCAACATGTTTGTTGAAGACCCTGCCCAACTGTTTGTCTATACAGAATCATAGGAAAGTAGGGCTAGAAGGGAACTCATGTGTCCAGCCCCCTACACAATGCAGGGTCATCCCTAAGTAAACCATCCCAGCTAAGTGTCTATTTAACCTGCTCTTGAAATTTTCCAGGGATGGAGATTCCTCAATTTCTTAGCAGCCTGTTCCAATGCTTGACTAGTCTCACAGTGAGAAAGTTCTTCGTAATCTTCAACCTAAATTTTCTCTGCTGTAGCTCATTGAGTCCACTGCTCCTAGTCCTGTCCCCTACAGCCACAAAGAAAAGCCCATTTGAAGACTTATCAAATCTTCCCTTGGTTTTCTGTTCTCCATACAAAATAATCCTAGCTCTTCAGCCTTTCCTCATCAGTCTTGTTTCCCAGCCTCTAATAATTTTTGTTCCTTTCTGCTGGACTCTTTCCAGTCTGTCAACCTTCTTGAAATGCAGGGTCCCAAACTGAACACAGTACTCCAGGTGAGGCCTCACCAGTGTCGAACACAGTGAAAGAATCATGTCCCTTGACTTCTAACAGCAGGGATATCACTTGCAACCCAGTATTGGTTTTGCTTTTTGGCAGCAAGAGCACACTAGCTTATATGTATTTTATGGTTGACTGTAACCTCCAGGTCCTTCTTTGTAGCACCTCAGGAGGTTAATTGTTCCCCAACCTGTATTCATGCATACAGGATTCAGTTGAAGGGCCATGGGTTTTTAACATAAATACCTCTAATAATTGTAGAAACCTTTTCTAGGGCATGGATATTATAAATCTGGTATTGAGGCATTGACAAGTCCAGATGTTCAGCTGATGTGAATAGTCAGACTTCCCTTGATTTCAGTAGTTCCATGACTTACAGCAGCTGAGAATCTGGTTGAAAATGTCATTTTGGCAGAATTGGCTTTTAAATATTATATTTTAAGTGAGTGTTTGGGTTTACAGTAATTTATGGCAACAATCCATATCTTTCTGTGCTTGCAACCCCACTTTCATACAAGGCCAACTTTTACAATTGAGTATCTATGAGGCTCATGATCTGCACTTCTAAATGCCACAATGTCTGCTTTGGGAGCTGCTGATTTACAGACCATTAAATAGTTGCCAGGCACTTAGCCACTGTTAGTGACATAGTATTTGAGATCCAATATGCAGAGATGAAAGGCTGTAGAATCTAAGAGGACTTACCTATATTTGTAAATTTTGTTTTCAGGGAAATCTGATGAACCAAGCTGTGATTGTGACCAGTTTCATTGTGCTAATGGAAAGTGTATTCCAGAAAATTGGAAATGTAATAACATGGATGAATGTGGAGACAACTCTGATGAAGAAATCTGTGCCAAAGCTAATCCTCCAACAGCTTCTTCCTTTCAACCTTGTGCTTACAACCAGTTCCAGTGTCTTTCTCGTGTCACCAAAGTTTATACTTGCCTTCCAGAATCTTTAAAATGTGATGGAAATATTGATTGTTTTGACTTAGGAGATGAAATAGACTGTGATGTTGCAACATGTGGGCAGTGGTTAAAATATTTTTATGGTACTTTCAGTTCTCCCAATTATCCAGACTTTTATCCTCCTGGAAGCAACTGTACCTGGCTAATAGACACGGGTGATCACCGCAAAGTCATTTTGCGCTTCACTGACTTTAAACTTGATGGTACTGGTTATGGAGACTACGTCAAAATATATGATGGATTAGAAGAAAATCCACGCAAGCTTTTGCGTGTGTTAACTGCATTTGACTCTCATGCTCCTCTTACAGTTGTTTCGTCCTCTGGGCAGATAAGAGTGCATTTTTGTGCTGACAAGGTGAATGCTGCAAGAGGATTTAATGCTACATACCAAGTAGATGGCTTCTGTTTGCCATGGGAGATTCCATGTGGTGGAAACTGGGGGTGTTACACAGAGCAACAGCGCTGTGATGGCTATTGGCATTGCCCAAATGGAAGGGATGAAACCAATTGCAGTATGTGCCAAAAAGATGAATTTCCCTGCTCTCGAAATGGAGTTTGCTATCCTCGATCTGATCGTTGCAACTACCAGAATCATTGCCCTAATGGTTCAGATGAGAAGAATTGCTTCTTCTGTCAACCGGGAAATTTCCACTGTAAAAATAACCGCTGTGTTTTTGAGAGTTGGGTTTGTGACTCTCAAGATGATTGTGGTGATGGTAGTGATGAAGAGAATTGTCCGGTCATTGTGCCCACCAGAGTAATAACTGCGGCTGTCATTGGGAGCCTTATCTGTGGACTGCTGCTTGTCATTGCACTGGGATGTACATGTAAGCTGTACTCACTGAGAATGTTTGAACGAAGGTGAGTAGCACATTACTGAATCCAGGCTGAAGTATCCTAATTATATAACACAGCAAACACTTGAACTGAAGCACATATCAATAAGAGCGATCTTTTGAGGATGGTATGACTTCCAAATGTGATCCCTCCATCATAGTTCTGAAATCCTTTATTTGACAATAAGAAAAAAGGAGGGTGGAAGAAGAATAATTCTGATTTGCTTGCCTCTGGACAAGCTAGCTTTGGTTTGGTTGTCAACCAGGAAAAAGTAAATTGATGTCAATTTTTGGGCTGTGGTCTCATTCTGAATTGAAATTTAAATATTGTGGCTGTGATTAACTAATGGCATTTCTGTGCAAGAGTTTTCATTTTTGTTCTCTGTTGCTATAATTGTTTTAATTCACATTAAAGGACAGGAATATATTAAAATGCTTTTCAGTTGTAACTTCTCAGAGATCTGAGTTAGAACTGGAGTTGTGTAATAAATATCTGCGATCTACAAATGTTATGAATTACATCAGTTTGCCCCTGCTTATGAATAAGTTTTGTATGGTTATATGCTATGTAATTTTCTTATTTTTCTTGAAAGATCATTTGAAACTCAGTTGTCAAGAGTTGAGGCTGAGTTGTTAAGAAGAGAAGCTCCTCCATCTTATGGACAGTTGATTGCTCAAGGTTTAATTCCACCAGTTGAAGATTTTCCTGTTTGCTCCCCAAATCAGGTAAGAGATTGGATTGTCACAACAGTTCTACAGACTAATGTTTTGCTTTCTGTCATGTTAGGTGTCTTGATTCTTATTTTGTTCTTCAGTCTAAATCGGTATTTTTGGACACGCAGTGTGACACGCAGAAGCAAGTTGCTTACCAAGTGGTTTGGTTTGGTTTTATTTTTTAAAATATACCATCTAGGTCAGTGGAGTCCTGATCTGCAACTAAGGCTTTTAGGCACTATGATAAACCATTAACAATAGCAAAGTTAAACACATTTGTATATAATGGGAAATGGGATTTAAATCTTGAACTGTGTATACATTAGTGGGGAATTAGACCTTTTGTGTTAACATATGTTGGAGCTATTTTTTGATTTGAGATTCTAGATTTCATATATTAGGGTTGCACGCAGAAATTGGGTGTTATTTTCTTAATAAGGGGGATGGTAAGCCACAACTGAACAACTGGCTTCATTGATAGCAGTACATCAAATAATAGGCTAGCAGCATCAGCTAATCTCCTAGCTCTTGTAGCAAATCGTTCCTCTTTACTTATCCTGGCAAAGATAGCAAAACAGCAGTTCTCCTAATTTGGAAACGATTTTGCATTCAACAGCGGCATGGCTATAGCCCAGATGCTGAGGAACAAGGGTGTAATAAACAGGCGTAGATTGATCTCTACAAGGCCTGCTTAAAGATGATACTTTATAGTTAGAGATTTGAACAAAAAAAAATTGACACTTCCTTTTCCTGCTTTAAACATAAGTAGTTTGTCTAAGGATCCATGATTGTTGTTCAAGCAGGAAATAGTAGATCTTTTTGACATTTTTGTGACCCTCATAATAAAGAAATTTGTGTTGCGTATAGAAATAGTTAAGAGCTTAGTTCTTCTCTGTAACAGGGACAAATAATTATTTTTTTACGTAACAGCAACTAAAATGACTGAATTAGTAGCTTGTGTTAGTCAGTAATTTAACATATACATTTATGGATGTTTAAAGAAACTTTCTCCCTCCCCCCTAATTAAAAGTATTTTAACATCAGAAAGAGTATTTATGTTAGGGTTTTTGATATACAAGGTCCTTGTGGCATTTCTGTGATCTTTGTAGGATTCAGCTTCTTTTATAAGTTGTAATTTAAACAATAAGATAGATTTGGGGGGGATACTTTAGACTCGGTAGTTCTTATTTGTTGTTCTAGCTCTTAGACCACAAACAGCCAATCATTTCTACCCTTCATTTCTACCAAAAAATTGATACTGGTAGAAAAGCTTTGGGGAGAGGAGCATACAAGCATTCAGCTTGCAGCCACCTCCTTTCTCCTGCTCTCTGTGCCTTCCTGAGACTGAGATTATTCCAGTTAGGGGGAAGTATGAGGATAAGTGCCTAAAATTTGGTCTAAGATTTGCCCCTACCTCCCACCAAAGGGTGAATGTGTGTGTTCTCTTGGATCCTGATCTAACCTACACTGCTTACAGAAAACTCTGTAACTGTCCCAGGAGCAATTTCTGGTTGTAGTTGGGTTATTTTTCTTCCAGAATGGCCGTTTTTGGCCTGAGACCAAAAGTTAAAACCTCTATATGCTTCTGATTTCTACCAGGAGAATGGGTTTTCTCCCAGTAGAAACTGAAGATTTGTATATGGCTTTAGAAACTGAAGAAAGATGATTTTTCAGTGAGGAAGAGATGGTGTGAGATAATGTAAGTGGAATGTTAGAGAATGAAGAATGATAAAGCTTAAAGACAAATGCTCCAATCTACCCTTTTTTCATAATAAAAGGTCTGAGTGAGATTCTGTGGTAGTAGTGCTGTTTTAACCAGAGTAATTCAGGAAATATACAAAAGCAAGACTTCTTTCCTAATATCTTCTGTGGATCAACTTCATGAAAGGGGGAGGTTTGAGAGAGGTCATTATGCCACTGAGAGCTTGTTTAACATCTCTCCCAACAGTATACTTGGTCTAGAAAAAGAGGTTAACAAACAAATTTTGCTCATCACAGTTTTCCATATATATTTTTTTCTGTGCTTGGAAGAGATAGAAAATGTTTGTTTTATTAGGGATATGAGGGGAATTGATTTTCTGCTTTAAAATGAAAGATCTTGCAATTTGAGGATGTGCACTGAAAATGTGAAAGAGTGCACACCACCAAGATATTTTAGTAAGAGCTACATTATCAAAATAAAAATCTAATTTTAAAATTTTTAAATAATATTTTTTCTTAAAATGGGATTTTAGTTTTATTTTTGCACGTTTGTTTCTTTGTTTTATATAATTAGCCACAAGGTGGCATTTAGGACCATTCTCTGAAGATCTGTTTTGAAACTAACATACAGTAGCATTTAACAGGACCTGTTGAATTCCTGAGTCATAAGCAACTTTAAAACTGTCACTGCTTAGTGGCTGTTGATGATAATTCACAAAAATAAAGGGAATGTCACTAATAAGTAACTATTACAAATGTTGGTCATCAGTTACTAATCCTGTGATTCCAAAAGAGTGCATTTGACTTTAAACATGAGTAGTCCTAGCAGGGGACTACTCTCATACTTAATCGTTAAGCACACCTGCTAGAGCATGAAGAATTTGGACCTAATCTCTGAAAAATGAGAGAATCTCTAATGAGCAAGGATCCTGGCCTTTTCTTTTAAAAAATCCAAAATTCTCTGATTTAAACCCCCCCAAATCTGTGTTTTTCCTCAATGAAAATGAAAAGCTACGATATATAGATATAGATAGATATCAGTTTGAACACAAGCTCACCAGTGTCTCAATCATTATAATAAAATAAATTCTAAGTACCTGTATATTTCAGTGTTTGATTTTGGGTTTTTTTTTTTTTAATCAAGGAAAATCAGAGCTCCCCCTGCCCCCTTTGCTCACGAGGATGCAGGTCTAGCTGTGGCTGTACCCCCCCCCCACTGCTTTGTGGTGCTAAGCAGCCCTGATATGCTGGTGCCTTGCCCCTGCCCATACTGGTGTCCCTTACTCCTGACCCACAGTCCCCTGCATCCTTCTGCCATGTCAGTGCCCCTCACTCCCAACCTGTAGCCTCCAATCCCCACCAGTGCCCATCACTCCTGACCTGTAGCCCCACCCCCATCTCTTTCAGTGCCCATCACTCCCAACCCACAGCTCCTCTCTCACCTGTGAGTGGCCAGAGCAGAGCCAAGTAGAGCCTGTGGGGTGCAGGGGGAGGATACAGGCTGCCCACTGTGGGGCTCAGGACTCCATGCCCTGCTCCCCTCCCCCTTCCTCCCCCTCCCAGAGCTTCCACATCCCAGCGGGTAGGACCTGACACAGGAGAGGAGAGGGGCAGCAAGACTCATTGCTGCTGCTACTGCCAGGAGACCTGCGCCAACCACAGCACCAGCAGCATGGGGAGTAACAGATGTGAGGGGGGACCACAGTGCCCTCACCTCCTCCTGCTGCCAGCTGCTGATGTGCTGGGCCACAGCTCTACCCCCTCCACTATAGCCCAGCTGCCCCCAAGCCACCTCCCCTTTGGGATAGAGCCATGGCCCAACACACAAGCAGCTGGTGGTGGGAGGAGGTGAGGGCAGCACAATGCCCTGCCATTCCATTATTCAGGCTACTGGCACAGGGGTCCCGGTGCTGGCACCAGTGGAGATGAGTCTCACTGCCCTGCTTCACCCTTTCATGCTGGGTCCCACCTGCTGGCCCACATGCCTGCTGTGAGTGCAGAAATCTGTGCGTGCATGTACCTCCCCTGTGTATCACCTGTGCCCCCCTGCCTGCCCACACCTCACCTATGACCACCCCCATCAATAGATTTACCTGCACGGAGCTGCTTTCCACTAGACTGCCTGGCTGCCACATGCATGCGTGTGCACACACATGCACATGGCAACCCTGCCTAATAGTCCTCCTCCCAGTCCCCGTCCCTGTCCCCACCCGAAGCAGCCCCTTGCAGGCTGGAACTCTGCCAGCTTGTAAAGGGAAACCCAGGGTTTCCTGTGGTTTTCTCCCTCAAAAGAGAAAATCTTCATTTTTCTGTAGCAAATAGGAAACCAAATCAACAGCATGTATATTTAATCTTAAGTATAGGCTAAAATATGGTTTTAATGTGAAGTACATGAATATTTATGCAAAATTTCTAACCAGGCTTTGATTTGCTCACAATTAAGAAGGTCTTACTTCGGAACAGATTTCAACATTACCAAATTGGTGCATGAGGTCTAAAGAGGGTGGTGAGACTATCATTTAAACTGTCCTGTCCTGATCTTGGCAGTAGAGAGAGCTGGTCATAAGGGGCTATCTTGCTTAAAATTATACTCCTAACTTCTGCTGAAGTTTAAATGTTGATGCAAAATGTGTATATGAGGAGAGAGAGAGAGAGACTCATTCAACAGTTCAAAAATACAGCTATGAAATGGTGAAGGAACTCCCAAGCTTTTGTTTTAAATTGGTATATGTAGTTTCTTTTAATTGCTACAAAAAGGAGTTTGTCAGTATTTTTTTAAGTGAAGATAGGATGTATTAACTACTCTTTGCACCTGAGGCTTTGATGACTAGGCATGGTTCAGATTTGCAAAAAGTTACTATTGAACTAAAGTTTCCAGGCTTAAGAAATCTCAGAAGTACTTGATTTGTGGAAAATGCTGACCACCTGCAAGAAACAGCTGTACTAAGAGAAGTCCCAAATCACTTATCCTTTTTGATAATTGTGCTACTGATTAGGTCACCTAATATGAACTCACATGCCTAATATTAGCCACTGTATTCTGGAAACGTGTGTATATATATTGGGACATGTGGTATTTGAAAAGAAAGGAGGGGAAAGCCATTGAATAAAATGACATCATTGTAAGTCTAGGGACTGCTGGAGATAAAAGAAAGTCTCTGTTCTTTATGTTAGGTAATAAACTGGATGAAATGATACATTTGGAAGAGATTTGTCTTTATCCTAGCCATGATTTTTCATACACAAGACCTAAAGTTGTGTTCCAAAAGCCATAGTTTGGCACCTAAATAAATGGCTCCATGTTCAAAAGAGCTGGACATCAGATTAGTGGAACAGTTATCTCATTGGAAGTTGTTGGGTTCTTCTGAAAATTGGGCTGCTTGATTTAGCTTCCTGTATTTCACTGCTTTGGCCATTGTGTATGCTTTTCATCTGTTAGACCTGTAATTTGGTGTTGTATTGAATCCCTTGTTCTTCTCCTGCAGTCCTAAAGTATGTTGATGTCAATAGCACTGGTGAAATGCATTCTTTCCTCCTGATCTTCCTTGTCAGATTCTTGGAGCATGTCTTCAGCCGGGTGGCACCCTGTCCCAGCAAAGCCATCCCCAAGCATATTCTGATCCAAACCCAGAAATATGAGTATGAAAATGCTCTAGCGCAGGGACAAGCAATTATTTCAGGCGAAGGGCCGCATACTGAGTTTTGACAAGCCATCAAGGGCCTTATGGCAGGCAGCCAGGGGCAGATAAATATTAATTTTCAAATTTTTAGGGGCCCTGCAGGCCAGATAGAATGGCCTGTTGGGCCACATCTGGCCTGTGGGCCGCATTTTTCCCACCCTTGCTCTAGCGCATCCCTCTGTAGCCACTCGGAGAACCAGAGGTCTCAAATATTGCTTGAAAGCAGCAATGGATGGATGCTCCCAGAGTGTCTTCACCAGCATATTTCTAGATTTGGAGTATGTGAGGGAGTGGGTAGGCAGGATGTACTTGGGAATTACCTGGTTGACACACACTGCTGCTCTGGGGTTGATAGACTCTTGATATCTTGGTTATCTTGTACCTCAACTACTACAGACTTTTCCTGAATTTCTTGCATAATATTTAATAATACTTGTATTCATCTTTATCTCCTGTTGATAATTAATCGCTCTTCTCCATCTCTTTTACATAGAACTATGTTTCTCACCTGTAACTTTTTTTAATTTAGTGCATCCTCTGCAGTTGTGGGCACAGAAAGCCCCTTATTTTACCCTTGCAGGCTCCCTTCCCTGACTTTTGCCTTGATACATGAAGCCTAAGGGGTGCCCCTCATTGGCAGGGCAGGGGCAGCACTTATTTAAGCCAGGCTACAGGGAATCATCTTCCTAGTCTGGCCCTGCACAATGCCTTTCTGGCCCTGCACAGTGCCTTTCTGGCCCTGCACAGTGCCTTCCAGAAACAGGCATGGTGAAGAAGTGTCACTTGGCAGCAGCAGCAAGGCAAGACTCTTAATAGGATCTCATGGCACATTAGGATGCTGTAGCACCCTAGTTGAAAAGCACTGACATGGAGCCTTGAATTGCACAAAAATTCATTCTTTCTACGTTATTTTTCTCCTGTCCTCTTACCAGCTCTTTTATCTTAGTTGTCACATTTAAATTGGTTCCTACCCCTGCAAGATCTGTACATCATCTAGGCCTGCTTTCACCCAACATCTCTCCCCTATTTCTCTCAGACTCTTCATTCAATTTCCACTCATAAGAGAACTGGAAACTTTAATTTAACTCCCAAAGATTCTTGCACATTCCAAGATTACACATCCACAATCAGTGCAGTGTGTATGGACTGGATTCTATTCTTTATAACTTCTTATACTATATTCATTGCCTTAGTATCTGATCATTTACATTTATTCTCATTTAGGTTTTATGGTCCTTGGACAGGAACTATATATTCATCCTTTGTTGTTATGCCAGGAAGCTACCAGAAATCTGATTAATTTGTTTCTTCTTTTTCAGGCTTCAGTTTTGGAAAATCTCAGACTAGCAGTGCGATCTCAGCTTGGATTTACCTCAATAAGACTTCCTATTGCCGGCAGGTCAAGTAATATTTTGAATCGAATTTTTAATTTTGCAAGGTCGCGTCATTCTGGATCATTGGCATTGGTATCAGCAGATGGAGATGATGTTGTTGCCAGCCAGAGTACTAGTAGAGAAGCAGAAAGAAATAGTACTCACAGAAGCTTGTTTTCAGTGGAGTCTGATGATACAGACACAGAAAATGAAAGAAGAGACACTGCAGGAGCTGTTGGTGGTGTTGCTGCCAGTTTGCCTCAAAAAGTCCCACCTGCAACAGCAATAGAAGCAACAGTAGGAGCATGTGGAAGTTCCTCAAATCAGAATATCAGCAGTAGTAATACAGATAATGGAAGAGAAGCAACAAGCGTAGAACCCCCAAGTACAAGTCCGGCACGTCACCAACTCACTAGTGCGCTAAGTCGTATGACTCAAGGCTTACGATGGGTACGCTTTACTCTAGGGAGATCAAATTCAGTAAATCAGAACCAAAGTCCTTTGAGACAGGCTGATAATGGGGTAAATGGAAGAGACGAAGATGACGATGTTGAAATGTTAATTCCAGTTTCTGATGTAGCTTCAGACTTTGATATGAATGACTGTTCAAGACCTCTGCTTGATCTTACCTCAGATCAAGGACAGGGGCTTAGACAGCCTTATAGTGGAACACATCATGGCATAAGATCATGTAATCGAGATGGGCCATGTGAGCGTTGTGGTATTGTACATACTGCCCAGATACCTGACACTTGCTTAGAAGCAACACTGAAAAATGAAACTAGTGATGATGAGGCATTATTACTTTGTTAGGTACGAAATGAATAGGGGAGGTTTGTATACAAGTTGGAGCAATATCAGTAATTGTTTTGTACTTCACAGTTAGAAAAACTAGCTTTAGTTTTAAAAAGTCCAGAGCAAAATCACGTTGAAATATTTTAGCCCACGTAGTTGAATACTTTTCTTACGCTGGATAAATCCATGGACTGTGTGAGTTGAGTATTTTTACAACTCAGAATATATTATATGTATCCAGTATAACCTGGTTACTCCTTTATGTAGCTAATGTTCATCCCAGTTAGTTTCAAATTAGTTTATTCTGGTACTGTAGCTCACAAAAGAAATATGGCTGCTCAAGACTTCCTGTTTGTTTCCCTCATTTTAACAGGTTAATTTGTACAGAATGATTTTCTTTTTGAAATGGAATCCATTGTATTATTGCCAACAAACTGGTAACTTAATATACTAAATGCTGGTAGGGTTTGTTAATCTAAAATAGGTAGTTTACCTTTCCAAGATTATATAACACTGTCTAAATATTCTTGAATTTAATAATAATGTGAACTTTTTCAAAGGGAGGAGAGACTTTCTCCAAAACACATTTTGTTTTAAAAGTTCAAAATGCAGTGATATATGAATTGCAGGTATAATTGGATAAACTGATGTGAAGAGCATTTTCCTTGCTTTTATAGCACGGACTTTAATAAATTGCAATCTAATATGGTACAACCAAATAATATGTAAAAATCCCAAGTTATTAGTCTTCTTAGAGGACAAAAAACAAATAGCTGAAACACTTGAATATGCATTAGTTCTTAAAATATCTGATACATGTACAAATACGCTACAGGATAAGTTCCAACTCGTAATAGATCTTTCCCTAGTAATATAGGGTATAAAGCTTGTTTGGACTCAAGGGATTTGCACTAAAATCATATTAAGGTCTCTAATGAACTTTAGTGCACAAGCACTATCACTTTAAGTACTATTATCTAATATTGCAATGGCTATATATTTCCATGGCTCTTTTCTTGGGGTGTTGCATTTTGTTACAATTGAATTTGCTTTACTAATTCCCTATTTATTCATTGTATTTAAAAACTGGTTTACTTGGTTACAGACTGGTGGTTATTTTATTTTTTTTTAATCCCTTTATGTGTATTTCTTTTTATCTTAATTTTTATAGTATTACATGTCGGAACAAACCTGATGAGTGGAAAAATTGTTCATAATTTCCAATTTTGTGATAAGCAGGTTAATATGTGGCTACTAGCGTGATAGCAAGAATCTACATCTTTTAAAAAGGAAAACAAAAAGTCAACTACTGTTTTATTTATTCTTTGCCAGTCTGTTTTTAGTAGGCTTAATGATTCAGTATGAAAATGTATTTGTGTGTGACAGTATGCTATTTATTAAATTTTAAATACTTTGTTGAATGTCATTTTAAAGCATGTTTAAAGTCTTGTGCATTTCTGTCGTGTTATGCTGTCAGGCACAACTGACTAAAATGTTTTAATATGTATCAGAATTAAAAATGATTTTTTGTTATGTTCTGAGGTACTTTTTAAAGATAAACGCAAAGATTTATTTGTTTTGTTTTATTTTATAAACCCTTAATTCCAGTGTGTAAAACGCATCCAATAGAAAAAAAATGTAAATAGGTTACACAGTAGACACCTCCCTCTGTGCCTCACTTTCTCAAGTTACAGTCCAGAAGTAGAACAATATTTTTTGTACAATCTTACAAGGTGCTTGGCTGACTTAAGTCACAAGATAGGTAACTATCCAACTCAGGATGTGATCCTTCAGATTTGAGCTTTAAAGAACTTGCAAGTAGTACATTTGGTTAAGAATGTCGTTATATTAGTAGTTCTTATTGTTTCAAAAATAATTTATACTTGCATCAAACCAGGTAAAGTTTGGCCTAAAATAATTTATACCAAAGAAAATGTTTAGTGGCTACCTTTATTCTCAGTGAGCAGTACTCGATTCTGTGAATCTTATTCTATTAATTTCAGTGTAGGATTACTTGCAGAGTAAGGTATGAAAAATATAGCGGAAAGTGGCCTTAAAAAACATTTTGAAAAAAAAAAGGAAAATGTAAATTAATACAAGGCCTCACAGATAAATTGGACAGTGCTCACAAAAAGTGACCTGTAGCATTAGTAGATATGATAATGCAGAAATGAAGAAGGAGGGTACAATGTCCATCTGTCTTCAGTTAGAATACTGGAGAGTTTGATATGACTAAGATTATGGGAAGTTTATAAATAACATCTATATTTTTGGAAGTCAGATCTATTACAACTACTCTGATTCAAGAAAACTTAACGGAAATGATCAAGCACCCTATACCCATAATAGAATACAAGTTTTACCTTTCCCACAGCTATTACCTCTACACTTCTGTTTGTCTGAACTGCTGGAAATGATGCTGCATCAAATCAGAGGTGTCAAACTCGCCTCATGCCCAGGACCAGATCTAGATTGCTGGGCTCCTTACAGGTCCGATCTAGCCCAGGCACAAGGTGGCTCTGGCCCAGGGAACACTGCAGCAGTGGCAGAGCCCTGGGGCCCGTGGCAGCAATGGCATCTCCAGTCCTAACTCCAGCACCGGCTCTGTTATGGAGCACAAAGTAACAGTGGCATCTCAGCAGTTTGGCCAGCAGCAAAGGAGGTGAGGCAAGCACACAGCGATGGCATTGGTGACAAGCTGAGTGGCCCTTGCTCACCCTCCTCCTGCTAACTACTTTGTTCACTGGGGCCCAAGGGCCCCAAGAGATTCTGCAGCAGACTACCCACCTTGGCCACACCCCTAACTTCCAGTTGACTGTGATAGCTCAGCAAACAAGATATATGGCCCATGGAGCTGCTCATTTTGAGCTGCATTAAGTGATTCTGGACTTTACCTTTCATAGAATATTAGGACATCTGAATAAATGCCAAAAATTAACAGTTGCTGTAAAAATAAACCTTTTATTTACATTTAATTTTAAAACATGACATCACTTAAGTCTATCAACTGAAGACTATATGATTTCTGTAAGATTTCTGTTTTTTGAGTATTGTTTTCAGTGCACCATCTTCAGATCTTGGTTCTTGGCATTGTTCGTATATTAAGTCAACAGTTTTGACCTTACGAGGAATTTCAGTGGTTTAAAGCCAAACCATCACTCAACTGTTTGAAAACATCCTAATTGAGTAAACCTCCAAAGTATAATTATAATTTATGGAAGTACCCACAGTACCCTAGGAACTGAAAAGGCAGTGGAAAAGCTAACACTTTCCCCAAGTGGTTTAGGCCTAGTTGCAGTAAAAGACTTGACTTGTTAGGGCTGTGTGAAACAGCACATTTTTATTTTGACTTCTTTTTGCTGTTTCAGAGGGACAGCGTTTCATTTTGTTTCGTTTTGAAGCACTGCTCTGTTTCATTTCGTTGAAACTGTTTTGCTGTTTTGACACATTTCAATGTTTCACCCATAGGCTATAATGGGGAATCATGAAAATGCCTAAAATGTTGTCATTTCTTGCCTGATTCAGATGAAAATTGCGGGGATGGTAGCGCCTTCTGAGGGCATGATGCCTGCAACGTTTCAAGGAGATGGGTGCATAGGTTTCTGGAAAACTGCACCTTAAACTGTTCAAAGCAAAAACACATGACACTTTCCAGCAGCAGCAGCTTCCTCTCATCTGGTAAGCAGATCTGGGGGCCTGCACCCCCGGGCAGGATGGGGGGACTCCTCCTGGGGGTGTGGGCCCCCAGATCTGCACATGGGATAAGAGGAGGCTGCCAGCTGGGACCGGTGCTGGGTGCAACCGTGTCCAGCGCTGGGAAGATTGCTGATGCTGATGGCCCCACAAAGCAGCGGCAGCCTCCTGTCATCCAGCATGCAGATCCAGGGGCCCACACCCTTGGGAGGGCTGCAGGGTTGTGCTGGATGCCTCCAGGGGGTGCAGGCCCCTGGATCTGCATGCTGGATGACAGGATGCTACCACTGCTGGCTGGGACCGGTGCTGGGCTCAGCCCATGCTGAGTGCTGGGAAGACTGCTGCTGCAACAGCATGACGTCATCCCATGTGCAGATCCAGGGGCCCACACCCCTGGGAGGATTGCAAGGTTGTCCCATACTCCTCCTGGGGGGTGCGGTCCTCTGGATCTGCATGCAGGATGACAGCAGGCCGCTGCTGACAGCTGGGACCAGCACTGAAGCCAAGTAAGCCCAGCTTTGAAACTCAAGATGTTTTGAAACTTTCAAAATGTTTCAAGTGCCCTTGTTTCGTTTCAAAGCTGTTTCAAAGCCTTTTGTTTCATTTCAATTTCACTGTTTCGAGTTTGAAACACATTGAAACGTTCAAAACGAAACACCCAGTGAAATTTCTCACAGCCCTATTGGCTGTCTAGAGTTTAGCTGTTGTAACACCTTCTTTAGGGGCTCAACAAATGGAATATGTTGTCCAATGTTATGACAGGGCAGAGAGCAGTTCAATTCCACATGGATTTAGAAAGAAAAGTTTTGAGGCAAAGCACTCTCTGAAGAGAAATACTGCACTTTGATCAGGTTTGCTGTCTCCAGTTCATCTTAAATGTCCAAGCTTCTTTCTCCCTCTCCCGCCTCTTTAGCTTTAATTTTAAAATGTGTTTGCCTCCATATTGTCTATTTTCAAACAAAATTGAATTTATTCACTGTATTTTTGTGGTACTTGGAAATATTCCAGCTCATATGGTGTCTTGTTGAAAGGTCTGTTTTCCCAGGCTGGCTGAGAATGCCCCTCTGGAAGCAGTTAACTGATCAGGTGAGTTGCTTTTATACAATAGCCAGCAACCTAGAATATTGATTCTTGGGTTAAAGTGGTTTGTTGCTAAGAGGCTTTATTGGGATTATTAATGGTCATTTTTTGTACTGCTATAGGAAAGGGATGACCAAAAGAGTTAAGAGCATTTTATTGATGATCTTTAAGCACTGGACCCTCTCAGGCTCCTGATGTTGATCTTCCCCAGTTGTGGCAGCACTAGTCCAGTGTGTGCCTGTCTTCCCAAACACCTGGAAACTCCTCAACCCATCCTTAGTCTGTACCAAGTGTTCCTGCTTGCCTTTCTGCTGCCTGTGGTGGAAAACCAGGTGGTTGTTCTTCAGCACATTCAGTAGCTCTGATTGGGCTGCTTTTCTCTCAGGAAGCAAGTAAGTTGGGGAAGGCAACCCTGCAGACAAAAGGTCTTCACAATGGGAGTGTGTGGAAACCTGTGGTGTTACAGACAAGGATAATGCAGGCGTGCTTAATTTTTTTCTTCACTATTTATCATTTCAAACCAATGGGACATGCTGGCTCTGGGGCAAATTGTGCACACAAAACATAGGGCTGGCAGTGGGGTGCATGGGCTGGACGTTGTACTGCAGACAACACAGGAGTGCAATCTGAAACGCCTCATGCAGCCTGCACCCCAGAATCCTTGTGCAGTGCCGAGTCGAGTTTGCATGCTGTGGGCAGCCTGTACCCCATGCAAGTGCCAGGTGCACAGTGAGCCCTGGGGCCAGTGCATACCTCATGTGGGGCTGGACTGGTTGCACACACAGCACAGAGGGCCAGCACTAGGTATGTGCTGCATGTGGTGCCCTGTTGGACCAGCCTTACGCACTGACACAACATGGTATGATTGAGGCTGGCCCCAGGGTCTGTGCATAGGGCTGGTCCAGTGAGGCACTACATGGATCATGTACCCCTTTGCCAGCTGTGTGGGACGCACAGTACCAGGGCCAACATGGGATTGGTCCAGTGACCCATGGGCTGAATCATACTGCTCCACAGGCTAGATCCAGCCTGTGGGCAATATGTTTGACATCCCTGGTCTAGTGAAATTATTTGGTAGTTATATTCCAGTTCCAATATAAGTGTACAAATAAGTGTAAAAGCCTTCCACCAAAATTGGCAGTCCTCCCTGACCTTTATCCTAGGACAGGACTAAAGTTCGTGGAAGACTAAATCATGTTGTTGTCCAGGCTATATCTACTACAAAAATGAACAGATTCTTTAGAGCTGTCTGTACACTACCTTTCCTGACCACTACATTCACACTGTGAAGAATAGGAATAGGTTTCAAACTGAGGAGTTTTCTACACTGAGCCATGTAGTAAAGTTACCATGTGTTCTTGCATATAACATGTCTGGGAATAAGATGCATACCTTGTTTTTGAAGGAAGAGACATATTTCCATGTACCTAACCAAGAGGGAACTGAGTTTGCTCATTTTTTTTGCTTCCTGTGGATCTTGTGCAGACTTTACTTTTCTTTCACCCAGCAGAAGCTTAAACAGCAGCAACTGCTATTCCAGTATTTCCTTGCTTGTAATGCTTGCTTCAGTTTTCATCAGCTGGTTTTTTGAAAAAAATGCATGTTATGTGCAAGAAAATACAGTAATCAAAGTTAAATAAAAGTGTGAATATAAAATTAACACATTAAATCTCCATATAGACCCTTGTACACACTATAATCAATCAAAAGTTATCCCTCCATCCCATTGTCCCCTATCACACTTCCTGTGTGTGTATGTG